TGGCGGCCCTGGCCGCTGTTCTGCTCGGTGCGCAGTGCTGGCGGCCGGGGACCGTGGGGGCAGGGGCAGGGGAGCGCTGGCCGCACAAGTCCCTGGAGGCTGCCGTCCTGCCTGGCAAGTTCTTCACAGAGCTCTGCCCTCGAACTATCCTCCCGTCCGTCCCTCCCTCTGCTCCATAAAACATTCCCCCACTACATCTCGGACGTGTGCTGAGGAAGCTGTGAAGGCAGACAGTGCGATGGAGCGAGGTGCAGCCAAGCCAGAGCAAGTTTTAGAAGTGGTGAGAGAGAAGAAAAAAGCAGTAAGAAACGAGAGACCTCCAGCCATGTGGCTCTGGGCTCAGGAACGATGGTGGCAGGACCGTCCTTCATTATCCTCTCATTACAAATGCAGACTCCTCACCTTCCTGTAAATGTGTTTTCTCTGCTATCTAAGAGGGCAGAACAATCTCAGGAGCACAGAGAGATAGGGAGGGTGAGCTTGATGCTGCTCTTCCACTAGGGAAGACCCTCCACCTGCCTAGAAGTCTCTTTTATACTTTTAGGAGGTGCGGCACTTCCACTGGAATGCTCTTACCTTTACCGTTATCAGAATTCCATCTTTTTTCACCTCATCGAAAAAGTTTTGTAGAGGAAACAACATTTTAGACGTAAACAAATAGAAGAGTATGTTTCCTGTGGTGTGATGGGTGCCTGAGATCTCTCTGGAGTTGATATAGAGAAAGGGCTGAGAGTAAGTGTCTCCATTTTTCAAGCCCCCAGCCCTTCATTTGCCCTTTCAGACGGGTGTGCCAGGGCTCTCCTAGTCCCACCAGTCGAAGGCAGCACTCTGGTGGTTGCCCCGTATGCTCCCTGCTTGTGCGTGAGGGTCACCTACTGAGTCTTAATTCTCTTCACTGCTCATCCCTCAGCACATTCCCTAGGCAATATATTGTCCTTGCCACCGATGGTGCTAGGATATCCAGCAGCCCTGCTGGAGCCACGTTCCTCTCTCACACTGTGTATTTTCCCAGTAGAGAAAGGCAAATCCAGAAACGTTGGGCTGCTGCCCAGAAGGGCTCATCTCCCTTTCCTGGAGATTTGGGACAGAGGCATTCTTCCCAGGCAGATGAAGAAGGACGGGGAGAAGCCACAGAGGCGGAGGAGACAAGTGTTCCCCGAGAAAGATGCAAGCAGCCCTGAGAGCTGAGGACAGCACGGGAAGATGTGAAAGATACAGCAGGGAAAAAGCCTTGGAGCTCCCAAAAGCCCAGCAGTGGGTGTGTAGAATAGCAGGCGATTGCAACTGGGGAGGGGAGGACTGCACTGCGAGCTGACCGGGAACAGCGCCTGCCCATGTGTGCGGCCCCCAGAGACAGGCAATGCTCAGAATGAATCGGATGAGGGAACTACAGGAGTTGTTGCTTAGGGAGGGGGAAACTTAAAGAGAGAAGTTCAGGTACTGAAGGGGCAGTTCATTTCTCTGCCCTCCTTCTTCCTTTGCTCCCCCAAGAGAGTCGTTTCTGGCAGCTCTTTTCTCTCGGTACAGGGAGGTGATTTCTGATCCTCTCAGCAAACAGGCAAGCCGGTCTCAGCATGAACTTCATCTGTCTTCTCCTAACTTGCTCTCTTGCATCCCTCAATACAGGGAGGGATATTTCCTTGCTTTACTCTGTGTGGTTAAGAGAACTGATGCAGTCCGTGCTCTGTGTAAGAGTGAGACGCCCTGTTTTATAGGGGCGCTACTTTGCTCCTCTGTAGAAACAATTAACCGAGTTTTGTATTTCTACGCAAATCCCCTGAAATCTCCAAAGACGACGGTGCCAATGAGTCCGTGTCCGCCAGGGCGCAGGAATACAACGCCGCGTCCCCATGACGGGGCCCGGAGAGCCAGAGGACGGTCCAACGACGATCTGCCGACACCGACAGCCGCCCCGCTGAAGCCCGCAGCTCTCTGGACCCTTTAGCAGCGCGTGCCCGGAGCTCGGGGCTGTGGTCCGGGAGCTGGCGGTAGAAATGGATAAAATCCCCTAGTCGTATGTTGGTCTTTGAGCACTTGATGGTGATTTCACTGCCCTCGGTGGTCTCTAGCAATGAGTCCCGCTGCACCTGGGCTCTTCCTGCAGACACTGGTGGGGAGATAAAGAAGAAAAGCCGTCCGAATTGCTTTTTGCACTGGATGTTGTTTCCCAGAACAAAGGGCACAGAAGCAGTCAGGACCATACGGAGAAAAATTTTACGAGGATGTCAAGGTGGGCAGTAGTGGAAGTGTCCATTAGTATTTGTTGGAGAGATGAGTGCGGGAAAGAGAGGTGGATTGGTGGAGTCACTGAAGAACGGAAAGCTGCGGGACTAAGAAAAGCAAAGAGAGAAAGAAAAGTAGGAAAGGGGAAGGAAGGACTGCACGAGTTCTCTGAAGGACAGAGAGTAAAGCAAGGAAACAGGAACGGTTCTACAAAGAAAAGAGTGATGAGTGTTCCGAGGGAATGCTTTATGGAGCAGAGGGAGGGAGGAAGGGAGGACAGTGCGGGGATAGAGCTCTGTGAAGAACCTACCAGGCAAGACGGCAGCCTCCAGTGATTTGCACGGCCACCTCAGACCCTGCCCGGGCCCCCACAGTCCCCGGCCACCAGCCCTGTGAACCGAGCAGAACCACGGCCAGGGCCGCCAGCCCCGCTCGCTGCCAGCGCCGCATCCGCCGATCCGCCGCCCGGCCTCTCGCTGCCCCCGACAGCCCCGGCTCTCTGCTCCGGGAGGGCCGCCTCCTCTCCCGCCTCTGCCTTCCTCTCCCTCCTCTGCCCTCCTCCGACAATTCCGTCCCGGGGCTGAGCTGGCGCCGACGCCGCTCGGGCTCTCGTCGGCTGCGGGTTGGATGCGGAGGCCAGGCGAGAGCGGCGGCAGCTCGGCGGCGGTCGGGGCTCTGCACCGCCGAGGCGGCGGGGCCGGGTTGGGTGGCAGGGGTGCCGGTTGGTATCGGGGAGCTCAAGATTGACAGGCCATGAGCTCCTTTCACCGCCATCATCTCTTCCCTCACGTCCCTCTTTTGTTGGCACGTGGAGACTCCTGAATTATCCTCCAGGGCACGCGCTTGTGAGAATGGTCGAGTGGCACGAGAGGCAAAACATCCCTCCGGGCTCAGCACTCCGGGCTCAGCCTCTCCTGGCTTCTCCCGGGGAGCGTCCCTGCTGGCAGCAGGAGCACTTCTGCTGGGGACAAAGACCACTTGGCCTTTTGTCGGGGGCTGTGGCACCAGTGCTACGGCCAGGCAGTGCATGGGAGAAGCACCTTCCCCAGAGAAATTTCGGACGTGGCATGGCATCCCTGACCTGCTTTGAAATTCGTGGTGATGCAGTCTCCGTACGTGAGTTCTGCTGCGTCCCTCCTCTTGCTCCTCTTGCTCCGAAGACCAAGGAACAGCCTGTCACACCTGAACTGGATGTGCTGCAACCAGCACAACTGCAGTAAGTTGAGGAGCACTCAGAGGCACAGCCAAAAATTCATTCTCTTTCCCGTTGCTGTCACCTCCGTAGGAGGATATCAAGGACAACCAGAGAAGAGTGTGATCTGTTGCCATGTGCACTGGAAAACCCAGGTCAACTCCCCAGGGCATGCATCCCAAACCTGCCAACCACTCTTGGATGGCACTCACAATAGAATCACTACTTCCAGCAGGGAGCTTTGACTTTTGAGGTGCAGTTGGTGGCACAGCCTGGGCACTAGGTGGGCATGCAGAGCTTTCTGTGCCGGCCACTTTTTCCCTGGTATGAACCTTCATTTGTATGGACTCGGGGGGGGGGAGGGCCGGCACATCTGGCCAGGGGCTGAGCAAAAGTATCAGCAACACTTTGCCCAGGACAGAAAGCCTGGGAGCTTTGGCTTTTTGGTGCAGTTGGTGGCGGAGCCTGGGCACTCCATGGGCAACCCGAACTTTCTGTGCTGGCCCCTTTTCCCTGGGAGGAATCTTCATTTGGATGGAATTTGGGGCGTGAGGGGCAGGAACCAGCAGCCCGGGGTTGACCCAAGGGATCAGCAGCCCTTTGCCCAGGACAGAAAGCCTGGGAGCTTTGGCTTTTGGGTGCAGTTGGTGGCGCAGCCTGGGCACTACGTGAGCAGCCAGAGCTTTCTCTGCTAGTACATTTTCCCTGGGAGGAATCTTCATTTGGATGGTTTATGGGGGGTGGGCGCTCCGGCAACGGCGGTCAGGGGCTGACCAAATGGTTTAGCAGCCCTTTGCCCAGGACACAAAGCCTGGGAGCTTTGGCTTTGAGGTGCAGTTGGTGGCGCAGCCTGGGCACTCAGTGGGCAGCCAGAGCTTTCTGTGCTGCCCCTATTCCCTGGGAGGAATCTTCATTTGGATGGGTTTTTGGGGGTGGGAGGTGGTGGCAACGGTAGTCCAGGACTGACCCAAGGGATCAGCAGCCCTTTGCCCAGGACAGAAAGCCTGGGAGCTTTGGCTTTGAGGTGCAGTTGGTGGCGCAGCCTGGGCACTCCGTGGGCAGCCAGAGCTTTCTCTGCTGGTACATTTTCCCTGGGAGGAATGTTCATTTGGATGGTTTATGGGGGGTGGGCGCTCCGGCACTGGCGGTCGGGGGCTGACCAAATGGTTTAGCAGCCCTTTGCCCAGGACAGAAAGCCTGGGAGCTTTGGCTTTTGGGTGCAGTTGGTGGCGCAGTCTTGGCACCCTGTGGTCAACCAGAGCTTTCTGTGCTGGCATGTTTTCCCTGGGAGGAATCTTCATTTCTATGGGTTTTGGGGCGGAGGGGGCCAGCACCGGCGACCCGGGGCTGCCAAAAGGGATCAGCAGCCCTTTGCCCAGGACAGAAAGCCTGGGAGCTTTGGCTTTTGGATGCAGTTGGTGGCGCACCCTGGGCACTCCTTGTGCAGCCAGAGCTTTCTGTGCTGGTCCCTTTTCCCTGGGAGGAATCTTCATTTGGATGGGTTTTGGGGCTGGGGGGGGGCGGAACAGGCGGCCCGGGGCCCACCCAGGGGATCAGCAGCCCTTTGCCCAGGACAGAAAGCCTGGGAGGTTTGGCTTTGAGGTGCAGTTGTTGGCGCAGCCTGAGCAGTCCGTAGGCAGCCCGAATTTTCTGTGCTGGTCCTTTTTCCCTTGGAGGAATCTTCATTTGGATGAGTTTTCGGGGGGGAGGGGGCCGGCACCGGAAGCCTGGGGCTGACCCAAGGGATCAGCAGCCCTTTTCCCAGGACAGAAAGCCGGGGAGCTTTGGCTTTT